TAATGTCTTTTTAATTTAAAGTTTAGAGCTCATTGTGAATGGTTTTGTTTTGTGTCAAATAGAAGTTAGTCAATGTCAGGCTTAAATTTAGGCATTCGGCCATCTTAACATGTGACACGCACCTGTATGTGGGGATTTGTCGCCTTCCAGTGGTCTCTAAAACAAATGACCACCAAATGAATTTCACATTTCAATCCTGTGATTATCATCTATTCTATATTTTCAACCCAGTTGGCTCTAATCTGAGTGTTAAGTGAGAGTTTTAGATAAGGACTCGTGTCGTTTAATAAGTGTTCAATGAAAAAATAGTTTTTTTTCATATAGGCCATGTAATTCTTCCTTTTTTAAAAACATTATTATATTGTCTTCTACTTCCTCAACAGGCTGGTGAATCTCTCCCCTCAGTGGAAGTCCAGGAAGGGGAGCCAGGGAATAAGGTTCATATGGATCAACTCTTCAAGGGGAAGAAGGGAGTCCTCTTTGCTGTACCTGGAGCTTTCACCCCTGGTTGTTCAAAGGTTTCAGCGCACACTCTCAAACTCTGTTTCTTGTTCTCAGTCATCTTTGCATCAGCTGACATTGTCTCTTGTTTCCTTTCAGACTCACCTCCCAGGTTTTGTGGAGAAGGCAGCGGATTTGAAGGGTAAAGGCATACAGGAGGTTGCTTGTATATCTGTCAATGATGCATTTGTCATGGCTGCCTGGGGGAAGGAGCATGGCACAGATGGCAAGGTAAGGATTACTTTTTTTTAATTTATTTTTTATAAATGTTGCCAATTTCTGTAGCAACCTGCACCAATTTAAATCTTGATACAATAGCTGACCACATATCATCATCTATAGAAGAAAATAAGCAATCACATATCTTAAATGTTAAACAGCTTTGCACCATTGCTGTCCGGCCTCTTTATGACTAAAGTAATAATGTAAAGCCTATTTGGCATCTATCTGTGGTGGATTTGACCATTCGGTAATCACAGCAATCTGCTAAACATTAGAGCGATAGGCTGTGTGCACAACCTTTGATATAGTGCTGACAGGAGACGAACAAAGAAAAATTAGATGACTGATGACTCTTTTGTCAGTAAGCTCATATTATAAAATAATATTTGTAGTAATTTCTTCAGTCATTGATTAAGAATAGAGAAGTTGATGACACAGCAGACCTCCCTAAAGTCACTGAGGAGCTAAGTGGCTATGGACAGGACTTGGTGTTTATGCTGCTTCTTGAGCTGAAAGAGTAAAACTGAGTGCTTATTAAGGTTATTCTTGTTAGATTAGAGCTCAGCTCATTACACCTGTGACTGGTTATGTCACACCTGTATTTCCGGTCATCTTTTGTGAGCTAAGTAATGGTACTTAATAGGGCTGGGTAATTAAAGGAAAATTAATCGAAACTGACATTCAGAACCTCTAACCGACGTAATCTTGCCCATGTCAATTATTTAGATTATTTTCAGGGCAGAGTCACGTGACGACACTTCCAATCCGCGACATGGAAGCAGTGTCCGTCGTTTGGACGCATTTTGTCTTTAGGGAAGACGACAGCGAACAAAAGGAAGTCAAATGTAAACACTGCTGAGAAACTGTTGGCAAGTTATTTATTTTCTACAGAAGTTAATTTCTAATTTAAAACTAAAATGTGTCATTTTCAAGCGATATGCTTTGATTTCAAGTTGGAAATATTCAATAAATAACCATAAAATAGTTCACCAGTTATGCATTCTTTCATTAGAAAAAGTATCCCAGCTTTAATAGTTGAGCATATTTAGAGTAGAGGCCATGTCAGTGAACTATGAGGGCAAAAAACAAAATAATCGTTCATTAATGGAAATGGAGGTAAAATGTTCAATTAATCGTGATGTTGATTTGAGGTCACATTGCCTAGATCCCTAGACTTAGATAATCAGAGTTTACAAAGTTTAGTCGTTGTCACGTTACAGAACATAAATCTCACGTCGCCACAAATATATACATTACCTCACCGCTCTGCATCCTGCAAAACTTTGTGTTTGAAAAAGAGAAGTGGTTTTATAAAGAAGATCTGTATGCCATTCATTCATTCGCTTCAACAACAAAGGCCAGAGTTAGCGAGAGTGCTATCTTTGCGACACCGTGGGTGATAAGGCTCATGGGAACTGCAGTCTTCATCCAGGAGAAACACTCCAGAGTTCGTCTGCAGATGTAATTTAAATCATATTATATTGATCAGATTAAGATGACTTCTGCTTTCATCTGCAGGTTCGCATGCTTGCTGATCCTACTGGAGCTTTCACAAAGGTAAATCAAAATGTCTGATATGTTATAACTTTAATTTTGTTTCATGGCGAGTCGTAATCTCTCTTTCTTTCTCTCTCTCAGGCGGTCGACCTGTTACTCGACAGTGATCAGATTGTTCAGGTGCTCGGGAACAAGCGATCCAAGAGGTGATGACCCTTTTTTACATGTTTATGTTTAATAATAATATTGTTCATTTATTCCCCTTTTTTAATACATTAAAGGAAGAATATACAACTTTTTGATCCAGTAGATGTCGCCCTGGAGCACCAGCATGAAACAAAAACAACTCGCACTGCATTGTTGTGTTAGCGTGCTGATGCTAGCGCTCTTTATTTTGCTCGAGAGTAACACTAAGTGACCGTTATATGTTTGAAAAGGAGGGATTTGATTTCAAACACTAGATTTTTCTGTGTTTAAGAACATAGATACACACAGGTGTATGTACTGTAAGCAAGAAAGGGTTCCTGATCCTCTGCCATTAGACTTTTTTTACGGAGCATTTTGTAAAATGAAAACAACAACATTTTGGTTTCAAGATTTTGCTCACAATTTACTTAAGAATTAACTGTCAGGATAATACTCAAAAATAAATATTTAATATATTTAATTGAGTGAGTCATTTTAGTAGGTTAATCAGAGTAAAAGTTTACACATTTCAAGTTCATAGTTATAAATCAGTGTGTTCTTTATCCTGTGTTTCAGGTATGTCATGTTGGTGGAAGATGGCGTTGTGAAGAAGATCAGTGTGGAGCCTGATGGCACTGGACTGACCTGCAGCCTGGCCTCAAACATTCTGTCTGATCTGTAGATTTGTTTTGAGCTTCTTCACCTGAATTACATGCACTTATAGGGTAAAAGTTGCACTTACAAAGCCCAGTACGAACCTTTTCCACCTTTCCTCTTTCCTTAAGTATTATGCAAATATCAATAATAATAAAGCCAGACGGTTATTAATGCGCACAACTTTGACATTAATGGAAATCCAAAGGAACTGTCCCCTCTGTATACTGTTACTCCTGAGAAAATAAAGTTCCCCCTGAAAGCAATAATCACCTCTCATCAAAGTCATTTCTGTTTGGCTGTTGTGTGTGTGACTTAATGCATTTTAATGCTTAACCATGTACAAATAGTTTGCATCATAAATGCTGCAAGAGTGATGATTTATATTATGATAAAAAGTACAAACAAGACGTTTCAACTCAAAATAAACATACACTGCAATAAAGGTGTACGTGTTGGTAGACAGTGACCATCTGAAAGTTGGATCTTTAACTAAAAACGTTTAAAAAAAAAGAACTGAATATTGACTAACATGCCAGATAAACACCTGTCACATGAACAAAATCTAATCTTTCATATGTGGAAAATATTTTTGTTTCAAACTGAACGCAAGAGATGTAGCCTCCTCTTTCTTTAAAGGATGTATGAATAGAAAAGAAAAGGTAGGTCTATCTAAAGAGTGTCACAAATGTGTGTCAAACACGAGTAAAAAAAAAAAAAAAAAGCAAAATGAGTATACTATCACATGTTTAATGAAGATATTAAGATTCCTTTAGGGGCAGCCAGCTTTAATTTAACGTACGGTTTACTTTTTTATGCAACCTTTTAATTCAAAGTCAGTAAAAATACAACTACTTTGCTTGGTAGTCACTCAGACTTCATGAAATAAATTCATGTTGAAGCTTCATGCTAGAATCACTGCTGATGTATTATCCAAAGATGGTGTAATTCGCAATTCGCTCACATGTATACCCATTGTTAATCTTTCACATTGACCTTTTCAAAGCCTTGATGGTCAAAAGGGGTAAAGGGAGGACTATTAATCCTGTGAGTCAGTGATCGGGGGAACAAATCAGTGTTGCCAGGTCCGCTTGTTATAAGCGACTTTGGGCTTGTTTTTATGTAAAGTCGCTTGCAAATATCGTCAGTCGCGGGTTGCAGGTTTTTGGGCTTGTTTTCTAAAGTGCAGTTGCTTGTTTGGGCTTTGCTTTGCTCCCTGTATGAACCTCTACTGATTCTCTCCCAAGTCAAAGTCAAAGTCAACTTTATTGCCAATTTCAAAATATGCCAGACATACAGTGGAATCGAAAATGCGTTTGTCTCCGTCCCGCGGTGCAATACAACCAAAATAAGGTAAAACAAGATAAGGTAAAATAGATCAAATAAAATGAGGTAAAAATAAGATAAATAATATTTACAATAATAAATTCTAAATTGTGCAAAAGGTACAAAATGGTAAATAAAAAAAATAAAAAAATCAAATAAATCAAATAATAAAATAAATCAAATCAATTCAAATCAAATCAAATCAAAATAAATAAATAAATAAATAAATAAATAAATAAATAAATAAAATAAAATAAAATAAAATAAAATAAAATAAAATAAAATAAAATTTAAAGAAAAAGTAAACTTGTGCAACATGTGCAATGTGCAGTAAACTGAGTGTACTCCACAATAAAGCCAAACACGATCGCGATAGTTTGTCCATTTCCAGGATCAGTCCACAAACCCCGTTTCTTAGGTGAGCCCGCCGACCCGATCTGGTGACCTCTCTTTTAAACTCTGTGGTAGGTTAGGTAACCCTGTTTGGCTTCATTTTGTTTATTTGAGGAGCCAGGTCGCTTGTTTTTGGGCTTGTTTCCATAGAGCTGGTTGCTCGTTCCTCTCGCGAGATCTGGCAACACTGGAACAAATCTTGTGACGTAAGGGAAGGGCGCAAGACGCAGGCGCAGTGCATTGTAGTCGCCGGTGCATGGATAGAAACGAAACCTAAACTGATTGTTAAGTGAACTACGGCGATATTCAGCCAAGACGCGACATTGAGAGGTGAGTTATACGGGAACTATGTATTGTGTGAAGGCCATGAATCAAGCAAATAACATGCGTGTGAAATAAAAAGCAGGTTATAGTTTAGACTCATTATGAAGCTAGTTAGCTTCCGGCTAAGTTAGCCTCCAGTGAAAATGAAGGCGCCGAAATTCTTAGCAACTAGCTATCGTTGCGTTTCTTATAAACTACACTACGACGGCGAGGGATACTGTAAGATCACGGCAGGCTTTTTAAAAAACGAGACCACATCTTCTAGTAAGAGGTTAGCTGTGTTTGTTCAGTTAGCTTTAATGCAGAGTAAATCTAGAGGCATGAGAACATGTGCTAAAGCTGTTAGCACTGATTTCTGGTTATTTATCAGCCTCGTCAAACAGAAAGAGAGGAAACATTGTTACTGTGACTCTATGCGTTCAATTGTTTGACTATGTGAAGATGTTAACATGTACAATAGAATAAACTGTAGTTGCAGCATTTTTGAAACTACACAGTTTCACTTTTGGTTGTTAGAAAACGCGCCTTTCTCTCTGTTACCTTCAGCTCTGTGAGCTCTCCTGGTTTATAAACACTCATCTGATTGCTTTTGTGAATCTCTCTCTTGGGATAAGATGTGCGTGGTGTCATTCCTTTCATTTGCAGTCATTTTAAACCTTTTATTTGTGTTTTTTCTCAACATTTATCATTCAATTAAACTCTATAATTTTGTCTTTGTGTAAACATTTGTGTCATGTCTTTTTCTCTTCCTGTTTATTACATTGAAAATGTTGCCTTATAATTATGGGTGCTTGGTTCAAGGTTGTCTTTGTTATCTCTGCGAGAGGGCAATTTGTTTTACAGTCAGCAGTAAAACACACACACACACACACACACACACATACAGCCTGAAATGAGCAAACAACATAGAAAGGACAATAAATAAATACAATAGATAAGAAACAGAGGCGACACAGTTAGTGGTTTAAAAAGGTGATGGCAGCAGGAACAAATGAGTTCCTCATCCTCTTTGTCCTGCTGGCTGAATCTGCAGTCTGACGGCAGCAACAGATTGGTGTCTCTGATACTGTACACCCTGTTGTCAGGGAGAAGTGATGTGTATTCAATTGTTAAGTGTTATTATTAAGGATATGCTAAGCTTATATAGAGATACATTAATACTACAGGTCCTGCATCTAATGTGAATGAAAATACTTAAAGCTGACGGTCACTTGTTAAAAGCGGTTACCTACTTACCAGAGTTCATTCAGATACACATTTTGGAAACGTAGTGAAGGGGGAAACATTTAACTGATGTGCTTACATTAATATGTGAAGTATTTTCACTATGTACGGTAGTAATATCTTCTGCACTGTCTGCGTTTCAGTTACAAGCTGTTGATTTGATACCTCCTACGCACATCAGCCATGTCGTCCACATCCCAAAAGCATAAAGACTTTGTGGCAGAGCCCATGGGCGAGAAGCCTGTGATGGCTCTGGCAGGCATTGGAGAAGCTCTTGGCAAAAGACTGGAGAGTAAGGGCTTTGATAAGGTGAGATATATTTGAATTCTTTCCCTTGCTGTACAGTATGAGCAAACAAAATTAACTGCCAGGAAGGTGCTCATCCTTACTGTGATCATTTTTTTGTAAGTGTTTTTTTTGTTGTCTTTAACACTACAACAGCGATGCGCACCTTCAAGTAGTGGTGGGCGATATAACAATATTAGATCGTGAAGGATTTTAACATGCTGACGATCTGCCAAAGCAGAGAGATCTTAGAACCGGGCTAATGTGTTTATTCTATCATGCTGCAGTTTATGCTCTGACACAGACGCGTCTCCCTCCTCCCCTTTTGCTCCACAGCGGTCAAAATGAAACTAAAAGTAAAGTCTGCAAAAACAACTCCATCTCGGTTATATTCAGCTGTTCTGATATTTATCCAAACCGACCCGCTGTGAGCAACAGTTAACTTATCTGCATAGTGTACACAGTTAAGATCAGTCTACATCTCAGATAGCGACATGGAGAGACATTAACAGTCAGAGACAGACAGGAAGGAGCTCAGACAGTCAGTGAGTGGAGATATAACCCCGGTGTTTAAAATGTTGCTGTGGATGTTTTCTGCTCTCTCTCAGTTATTAAAAGTTAATATCAAGCCTCTCCACCCAAAACTCACCTGTTGTGATAACTGAATTTATAGGGATTAGGCTAAACAATGTTACAAAGCAGCAGGCAGGTGAGAGTGAGTAACCATGGTGACTGTCTGTCTGCCAATCAACAATGTCCCGCCCCCTCTATGAATTAAACTCTTGTCAGTAAAACTTACTTTGATCATGTGTCGCAGAATGAACACATTCTGTATTATGTTTGATTATATATAAACAAAACTAAAGTTAGTCCAATGATGTCATAAAAAACAACAAAGGCTGCAGAGCCTGTAAGAAGCTACAGCTGTAGAACAGAAACACAAGAACTTGAAGTCTACATGTTTTTAAATGAATGCATCACTGCGTGAAAATGTTCCTGATGAACATAAAAAGAGGACACATAACTAAATCATAATTTCAAAGTGGTGAGGAAAACCTTCAAATTGTGCATAAATATCGATCAAATCGAGGGAAAGACATTTCTGTTGCTAAAGATGTTCTAGGTGAGAGAACTCCAGACCTCCTACAAAGATGTTTTTCAAATAGATTAAACTTGTCAGCACAGTTTTTGTGCATTTAAAAACATTATACAGGGAAATAAGTTTGGTTGAACTGGTCAGTAACTTACAAATTTGTCTAAACAGTTTGAAAAACATTGTGATAAAAATGGTGATCGTGATTTTGCCAAAAAAAATCGTGATATGATATTTTTCCCATATCGCCCACCTCTATCTTCAAGAGCGGGAAAAAGTAGCGAATACTGAAATGATACACTGGCTGTAATGCATGCAGTCAATATGACCGCTATGGACTTTCAAGGTAGAAATACTCAAAAGTATTTTATGTTTTGTGTTTTTGATAAAATAACAATGCTAGAATAAAATATAGACACATTTAGGAAAAGTCATGGTCCTGCAGTTACATAGGTTTTATTTTAAGTAAGTTATTACATTGCAAAATTAAAAAACAGTCAAAATGACTGCCTTGGTCTTTCTAGTGTTAAGCCAATAACAAGTAATGAATGAAACAATTTAGAAGCATACATTTCAGTGGATTTTGGCAGGTATTTATTTGTGCCATAATTTTGACCAATTCATCCTTTATATAAAAGTGTAAAAGTTAAAAGTTCCAGTTCATTTGATTTTGTGTGATTTAAAGAGCTGACACAAAATACCTACCTGTGAACTTCTCACAGATTCATATTTAAACTTCAGCTACGTGTCAATGAGATCATTGATGTAACGACTTTCTTACTAGCATTCCTCTCTTAATTAGATTTTCTATTGTGTGGTCACCTCCTCCCCCACAGGCGTACGTTGTCCTCGGGCAGTTCCTGGTGCTAAAGAAAGATGAGGAGCTCTTCCGGGACTGGCTTAAAGACACATGTGGAGCAAACAGCAAACAACAAGGTGACTGCTATGGCTGTCTGAAAGAATGGTGTGACGCCTTCTTATAAAGCATTAAGCTTTGTTTTTTTTTTTTTTTTTTTTTTTTTACTTCTGAAGTTAACACCGTACACAACCTCTTCACTGATCTTGATTCAATTCTGCTGCACCATGTTTGGACCGACACTGTACACACAAAGGAGGTTTTTAAAGTACACTGGCAACCATTTGTGAATTTCTGAAATCCCCCCAGTTTTGGCTACAATTAATATAGACCTTGATGTAATTTTAATAATTGTTAAATCAATGCGTTGCTGACATCTTGACATGTCAAAGCAGTAAGGCCACAGGTGTAGCTAACATTATTATTGATGGCTTGTTTCCATCAGGGTTTACTCGTGCTGTAGCCTTTGTGACCGTTAGTACACCTGTGTTTGACAAGCTCACGTCTGCTGTCTACTAAGGAGCTTCATCATATATCACATGTGCTGTCTGTCAGAAGCTGACTTTTAAACGTGTGGTTTATGCATTGTCTGTCACTTCCTGAGATTTTACTGTTGAACCATTACACAGCTAGTTTGTTCTGTATTAAACCTTTTGTTTTATTTTAAATGTGATGTATCTGTACAATCTTGACTAATATTCACACTCACATTTAACTCTTGGCTCTCTTGCTTGTTTTTTATTTTTATTTTTTTAAAGCCATTGGAAAGTTGATGTAAGTTTTATTTTTCTAACGAGCATATTTTATCACAGTTTAGTAGCCAGCTCTGCTAGTGCACCATCATTTCAATGATGAGGTGTCTTGCAGTGGATATTACTTATGTGTGACACAAAAAACTAAACCTTTAAACTAATGTGACGCCATCTAAGCGGGACGGTTTTTTTATATAACAAGTTTTAACGCTAAAGGAACGAGGCCCTCTGGTCTGCTAAAGCTTGTTCAACTTGAAGTTGGAAATGTGTGTAAGTAAAGATGCAAACAATACAAACAAAGTGAAGGCTGTCAGTCTATTGCTGATGAGAGGGATGCTGACTTTACTGATGTCTCCCAGATAAGCTAGACATTACTGCTAAGTGTATTTTTTTTAAAGCATTTTGTTCACGCCTGACGTGCTGAGAGTAAAGCGTTCAGATTGGTTTAACTTGTTGGAGGAGGAGAAACTAGCTTTGTTTTGAGTTTCAGATTAATGGCAGCCATCTGAATCAAACTTTACCCACTTTTGTTATGAACACCGAAGAGAGAGAATGTATATGACGCTTCATAAGTGTGTGTGTGTTACTCTTCTAATTAAAATCCAAATCCCAAAACTTCCAAATGATAAATCCCTGACTTTTAAATGGATCTGGAAAGCTCCTCGTCAGGTGTTCATAGCTGAGTTTGACGTGTGTCTTTTTAAACGTTAAATGCCTTAATGCATGCTCGTGTCATTTCAATTTAGAGGAATTATAAAATCAGCAGAAGTGCATGTCCAGATTGTGTCACGTACATTTTTCATCACCAGCTGTTTAAAGATGTTATTACTGTGTAGCAGCTTCTTGTTAAAACAAATACTGACTGATGTGTTTTTATTTTACTGTGAAACCTCTCAGCTTTTATAAATACTGCTAAACAATATGAAGAAAAAGCAAGCATCACATTTGGACATGCATATTTGTTTTTCACATGTTCAAATAAAATCAAATGACAAAGGACACTTGGTAACAGGATTTTTTTTTATTTCAATGCATGATATTCTATGTTTACTTTTTCACCAAAGCTCCTAATTTCACATTGGCAAGATACTGAAAACCCATTGATTACGCTTCCAAAGGTTCCAGAGCAGGGGGGGGGGGGGGTCCATGACATTTATGATGTCAGAGATAACATGAAGACAATATGTGAGAGCAGAACTCAAGTGTTGCCTGAACTCTAGATGGAGAAAATGGGAATTAAAATTCTCACGTCCTTCCCGCCCGTCCTCCTGAATGAGAAGAGACGTTAGGCTGCTCCATATTTCCTGGAAACCTCTGCTCTGGAGACCCTCTGATTGGTTCGAATGATGATGTTACACCGACATTGTAACGACTTATTTTGCCTTTTAAGAAATAGAAAACTGTTCCTATGACAGACTCCTAAACCAAATCGCTTTCATTGAGCTTGAATGGCTTTGATTCTACATTTATTGTCTCTAACCCTTGGAATGTGTTATTTTCCTAAGTATGGGTTTGTGTGCTATAAAATCTTGATTAACAGTGATCAGATGATCCGAATCAATGCTTCACAGTAGCACCTATGCACGCACACACACACACGTTCACATCCTCACTACAGCAACAGTATAGAAATGAGACATTTAAATAAATAAATAAATAAACTTATATGATCATTATCCACTCGCTAGCAGCTTGTAGAAGAAACTGCCAAAACAGGACCAACAAGAGTTAACAAAGAGTACAAAATAATGGATGGGGTTCAGCACTGGAGAGAGATCTAAATGCTATTAATCAACTCCTACAAATGGAAACACTGTCAGTTAGTGAATATGAAGTAGTTGATTACGTAACATAGGCTTGTCTTTTCTCAGTTCTCAGATCGACCCAGTTAGAGCAAAATCGGTAGCACCACCACAATCCAAAACTCTCCACACGACTCTGTTAAGACACTTGATGATGCTCAAACTATTCCTTTCTGGCAGTTACCCTATAATATATAAATGAGCATGAAATGTATGTATCATGAAAGCAGTTTTTTTTTTTTTTTTTTTTTAAATATCTTTTGGATACTTATGAGTCTTTATTTGATTAAATGTTAAGGTTTTGTTTCAAATCCCCACGCTGTCTTTTGCTCTATCCCTCTAACTCTGAGACCAGACGCTAGCACTTTAAGAATTTGGATCTAGACGTTTTGTTGTAATTGATGATCTACTGTACATCGGCAGCTTTTATGCAAGGTTACTATAGTACATGGACGTCTTATTTGAATTGGAAGTGTACACACATGTACCCACTGTACATACATGTACACACTGTACAGCTGTACTTGAAATCACAACAATCCCTGATTGGTCTCAAAGCAGAGCGCAGAAGAATTTCTTCTCCCTGAAAGGGTTCTCTGAGGTGGGCACGGGGGTGATCAGGGGGGTCGTCGCAGGAGTGTGCGTCGCAGTACGCCATCAGGTCGGCTGCGGCCTTTGATACCTGTAGGTGATGAGGAGGATTGGATGAAGGGAGAATCATGCATATGATTAAAATGTTTTCAAACATTAGTCTATTACACAAATGAAATAAAGGCCATCCTTTGATGAATCCACCACGCCCAGTCTAAGTGTTATAGGTTGTGGTAGAGACAGCAGATAGTTTAAGCTACTCACTGAGAAACTCTAATATATTGTTTTTCTTACTAATAACTAGACTTTAGTTTTGGCCATCAAGAAAATAAACACATTTACATATTCAAATCTATGTACAACTAACTCTTAATGGATGTGAAATGATATCTATCGTTGTATGGCCTGGTTCAGTACTCTAAATTCTAACCTAAAAATAGGCAGAGCACCAAAAACAGGCTAAAAATAAGCTAGCATTAGCCACAGCTCAGCTTGCAACCCCCTCCTGACATTCTGTGACTGTTGAGACGGTCGTAGAAATCCTAAAACATTTGGCATGAAACTACTTCCTTTAAGTTTTTTGGGGTAATATTTGTTTATAGCTAACAATAACGTCACACTCTGCCAGCTCTACACTGTGATTTATTTCATACTTCATGATAGATTACCTGAAAACACTTCTTCAGTCTCTTGAGCTTACCATAATATAACTCATGGCTGTGGCTACTGTTTTTCTTTTTTAAGTGGGGGGATAATAAATAATCGTTTTGTGTTTGTTCATTGACTGGCCAACTTTTCTCTACATTTTAAGCATAATCGGAGACATTCCTGATTGGCTTCTGAATGACTTTGGTGTCCATCCTATAAAGATATTTACAAGTGAGACGCCCTCATTTTGGTTATTTTTCTGATATGACAACCTTCTGTTTGGACCAATATTCCTCAGGACTGAAGGACAATGTTGATTATTTACCAGCAGACTATTAAAACATAAGGTGTAAGCAAAGTCATAAATAAAATAGATAAAATGTGTCTCTATTGCTCTTATTAAGAAAATGAGGGTTTGGTCTAAGAGTGAAAATAAATGATATTGTCCCCTACTTGAATTCTTCAGAATACATTTTTTCAGTATGTTATGGCACCACATGGCTCGAGAAAAAGTATTTCATCCACGGTTTTGATCTAATTTCTACGAGCATTGCTTTTTATTTTCATTTCAGTTTTCATGATGAATATATAGAATGAGTGGAGGTCAACCCCTCACAACATATCTTCCGCTAGTTTGTGAAGTGTATTTTATTTTTAAATAAATGAAATTGTTCTATGCCAAATCTGGACCCAACTAAGGATTTGAAATGTCTCCGGAAATATAATTGACAAATGGATGCTCTACATAAACCTCAAAAGGGAGAGCAGGTGAACTTGTTAATTCATCTGAAGAAAAACAGATGTTTGTTGTAGCAAAGGTATCATGATACATCCGTGAAGAGAGGAATCAGAGACCATGAGCAAAAACGAGGAAACAGCAAAGGTAATATCAGCAGAAAATGAAATAAAGAGAGAAAGTAAATTAGTCATTTTATAAATACTAAAAAAAAGCATGAATATTGTTAATATGTTTTAAAATAGAAAACATTTAATGAGTGCTTACTGCATCCTCTTTCAGTCCTACAACACGGTATGTTTAGCCTCATGGTGTGATCTCTTTTCAAAGGATTTAAAGGTTCTCAATAAAAGCATTTTTCACACGTGATCTACTGAACCTTTTTAGTTCACGCTGAAACCTTCCTGAGTTTTCTTTTCACAGATGAACCTAATAGTGGGAGACTTCTGTCAGACAGGAGGGGGCAGGGTCTCAGGAAGCTGCACGACCTAAAAAGGACAACGCTGAAATGTTGGACAATGTATGGCACCTTTGATTACCGAGTGTAAGCGGACCTATTCTCAGTTTCAACAAATGAGTACTGAAGAACCTACTTGTAAACAGAAAGGGGGTATGAAGCAGCTTCACTGTACGTGCAAGACGATCACACAGGTCGCTCTACGGTCCCGTCAGATAAACGTCATCTCCTGCATATCTGCTCACACCCATATCACACAGACATTTCTTTAGGGGGCTGGCAGGAAACATTCCCTGTAGAGTCTGAAGTGAAACTTTATCTGTTTCCATCCACACTTGCAGCCCCCCAACATGTGCCAGTTTTACAAGGTAGGTACTACTAACAGGGCGAAATATTCTGTGAACACATCTGTCCAAACTATTCTTAAAATGATGCATTTCCAGAAGTGGCATGAGCTGAAAAGTGTAAAACATGTTAACATAAATGATAGAGTTATGTTAGTCTCCTCTTTATGTGATGTTCTTTTCTTCAGGAGCTGCTTTTTTGAGCAGCTTTTGACGCGCTATGGAAGAAAATACCCCTTGGTAAGTCTCCAACAGGAAGCGTTGGCTTTAATTAGCTTTGAGAAGGTCACAGCCTCCTTCCTTGATGTGTAAAGCAGACTGGATTATTCAAGTCTGTCAAATTATTCCCTGTGCCTTTCAGCTTTGATTTAAGGCTTTATGTGTAAAAAAAAAAAAAGAAAAGAAAAGAAGAAAAAAAAGGAGCCACATCAAAGTCAAACTTTGCCTTTTTTTATCTGATGCAAAGTTTGACTTGTGCAGTGCTATTGCTAATGTAATACAAACAGCATAGTACTATTATGCTTTGTGTTGACATGAACTACCTGACCTGAAGCAACACAAGAAAATAAGAGCTGAGTGTTTTGACAGTAAATGATCTTGAATGAAGCTTTTCTGGAAGTCAAATGAAGTTTGACAGTGTCATTTAATTCTCTGTATTGATTGAATCATTAGCTTCTATCATGCCGTGTGTTTTAAACGTGAGGACGTTCAGATTGTCTTACCTTTATCCTGCAGAAACTAGCCTCTATCTTCAGTTGCTCCACCAGCTTCCTTGCCTGACCGACACTCATGGTGCTGTTCACTGGGGTGTCTCCTTTCATTCTAGCAAACACAAGCACAAACACAGCAACATGTCAAACATTTTGGGCTTGAAATTGCATGAAATTATACCCTTTATAGTTTCCTAAATGGGAAATGACTGATCCAGAAATCCTACACAAAAACAAAACTCAGATTAAATGTATTTAGAAGCAATGATTAGGTTCTAATAATGTTTACAAGGCACGGGATCGATACGTCTTTAATGCACTGTTCTGTTTGTTTGACCAAATAAAAGAAACTGCGTGACCTGAGATTTCAGAGAATTCACAATATAGCTTTTTTTTGTCTATTAACATTAAAATAAATACTCAAAAATGAAAGAACATTATTTCCTACTCACTGATCTTTCCAAATCTAAAGGATTTGGAAAGATTTGGCCACCATCAAAGTGAGCATGAAACAAGTCAATCTCCTGTAATGAAACACAGATATTTATCAATATTTGGTCGAACCGGCACAGCTGCTACATCATGTCATCTTTTACGGCATTAAAGGCATTTATACATGTTATCAAATGCAGACACAACATGTAAACTGGGCCAAATGGTCAGATTGATTCACCATGGCCCACAGATTCTTCCACCACGAGCAAGATTAACCACCAGATACCAAAAGGAGAATGAAATCAGCGCTGCAGCAACACTGAAATTCATGAATTGGTGAATAATGGTGTACATGAATGAAAGAAAAAATTCACAGATGGGAAAAAAAAATCCTTTAGGATGAATTGTCAACAGGAGGAAGGGAAAAAAAAAAAAAAGGCGAGCAGCGAATCTGTGTGAAACATTCTGGACCTTTCCCCATTGTCTTTTTTTTTCTTCTCCCTCCATCCACCCCCTTTCCTTCTTACCCGTTTTATATTCCTCTTCAGGTGCAGTCTTCCCCCCTCTTCTCTCTTTTTTTCCTCCCTTTTTCTGCCTCTCTGTGTCCCCTCTGTGAGCTTGTGTTTGGTGGTATCAGTGTAGCCGGACCCCACCCCTCACAGACAACAGCCTGGATGGTACCCTGCTCTGTACAGTCCGGTGCACTGCAATTCTGCCACAATGAGCTCTAGATTTGTGGTGGTTGACTAGGAACACCCCCTCTGTGCTGAGTGGTACCTACCAGACAGGGGGAGGGGGGGGGGACCATGTGTGAGGCTTTTCTTATGAGGGTGGATTGTACCACTTTCTTACTCAGGGAAAAAAAGGGTCCAACTGGAATCTCTCAGGTTTCAATCTCTATAACAAAAAAGGATCATCTATGTGGTCTGTGGTTCTGGTTTGTAGTGCTGAAGAGTATTCAGCATGTGATGTGACCCTCCAGAGACCTGACTCATTAAGTGACTCTGTGCTTTATGTGATGCCCACCCTCTCCTCTGTTGCTATGGGGACTGCTGCAGGTTGGCTAAGTGGTTTACATCACAGTTTCAATTGTGTAATTTCTACTCCTAATCAATCTGTTAAAGTGCTACAGATAAGAGGATCATTTGATTTCTTACATATAAGGGTAATGGAAAGAAAAGTGGAATTTAAAAAAAAAAGGAAAAGCAGACTATATTTTGTGTGTAGGCTCTTATGATGCTCTCAGATCAAAGAGCACGTCGAGTAAAGAGAAGTGCACCTCTAATGTCGAGATCATTTTACATTATAGCGAATTTTGATCAATATTTGTCCTCGTGATTTCATTATTAGGGACTCGAGCAGACAAGCAAACGACAACGCGCTGCTGAAAATCAACAACACGTCCAGAAGCCATCTTTGCAAAAGCTAGCTTTACTCCACTTTAATGGCGCTGTCATTACCTTCCCTCAACTCTTTTATTGGCGGTGACTTATCTTGTAGTTGTACCATCTCTGTTTGCTTGAGGCTGTTTTACGTTCTGGGGTCTTTTGTCCTTCGCGCTTGCCGTCGTTTGAGAACTGGATTTAAATACAATTTACTCTTTTTACTTATCCTATTTAACTTGCCAAATAGAGGCTATTTGTTCCCTTGAATAGTTTTCTTAAGTTAGTTATTTCACTTAAGAAATTCTGTCTACTAGTAACCTGTATGAGGCTTCTAGATGTAGAAAAAATACCCTGGCTTTCGACTGTTGCTACTTTATCCAATATTATAAGATCCGGCCATACAGTGAATGCCATAGTCCTAATGTTACAACAAGATTATTATTGATATGATGCTCACTTTGTAGAAGGATTTGTACACACCTGCAGCTAAAAATAATGGTTATTAATGCAAATTATTTGATCTATTCGTCATTGTATTGTTTGGGTGCCCTAATCCTAACCCCTGAAAATGAATAGACTCACAATAATCATAGCCTGAAGAGACACCATTTCAACTTTTTGTTGTCCAAATAACCAGACAAAACTTCACATGATTACAACTAGGCTTACAGGTATCTATCTACCTTAATGATTAAAATGGTTGATAGTTAAAAAAAAACAAAACAAATCAAAGCAATCCACTCAATAGCGGTAATAGCTCAAATATTAGAACATTACAGAAATATGTTTGACTTCCTTGTATTTTCCTTTTACTCATTGTTATTATTATTTTCAGGAGTTCGGCAGTAACTTATCTCATGTTATCTTACTGCTTCTAATGTAACCTGTGTTGTATTTTTTTCTAAGGTTTAATTGTAACTCTGATTCCACTAAAAATACAAAACAAATATTGAGTATGTGTGAAGAGCAAATAAAAAATAAACAGCCTGCCTAGAAATTGTAATAAATTCATGACATGCGTTGTTAGATGGTGGCTTTGATGAACATGTCTGAGCAAAGTGCAAAGATTTTCACACCCACTGTTTTAGATGTCAACACCAAGCTTTTATCTTGTTTGAAATGACTGATTTTAGTCTTCATTATCCTGCTTCTGGGACTGCAGACTTACGTCATGAGGACAGGGTGAACAGTTTATTTGGATTTATTAGCTGCAGTTTAAGGACTCCATCTGCTGGATGACGCTGGCAGAGATGACTGCATCATTGATCTGCAAAAAGCCTGCAGGGTCACGTCTAACCTTTCAGCTCTTCTGAGGTGAGTCAAATTTAGGTTTTAAAAAAAAAGCCCAATAAGAACTTGGTTTAGACAAACAGATGGAAATAAATAAATTACTCACAAAAAAAAAGTGTAGAAAGATATTAGTGTGCTTTTTCGATCAAGTGTACCTCAGCTTTTTTAATGAGTAGAACCTTATTTATTGTCACAGATAAGATGTCTCTTAAGGGAAATAACCCAGTGATTTTACTTTAATATTTTGAACAGATGAACTAACTTGACTTCTTCCAAACGAGATAAAGATCCCTCTACTCTGATTGTGTCCTAAATACTGTCTTTTCTTGTAGCCAACATATAAATACCCTGATACTGCACAGGTTAAATTAATAACATCATTATATCAAATATCTGATGATGAAGTAACAAAGCAGGAGGCGAAAGTACAGAAAATCTTCAGGAAACAGAAACCTCATGATTTGATCAAGCAAACCTTTTTCACATGGAGCAGTCCGGCTTTTAACGTCTTTGTTTTTCATCACGTCGTTCAGATCTGAGACTCCAACCTGCTAAACCATGACGCCCTCTTACTCCAAACAGCACCACTTTAATGTTATTTTAAACCTCAGAAAAATAACAAACATTTAATGTTTCTTTCACTCCACTAAAGCATTCAAATAAGAACCAAACACTTTATGATTAATTGTAACTCCTTGTTCATAAGTAACAGTCAATGTGTTTGCAGTTAATAATAGTAATAATAATATTAGCTGCAGATATTTATGTTTCTCTGAACAAGTATCTTTTTTTTATGTACAACTATAACTCCCCCACCTTCATAAAACAACAGAAAACAGCTTTCATAATAATAAATGATAAGTCATTCTCAGTTCAATACACTCAAAGTTTGACTAAAAGCTGGATTTTTGGAGCTTTTTGTTGAGTTTTCAACCTCTACAGGATTGATTAGACATTTCTTACCACAGCTCAGACGTCTAGAAGCTGAAAAAGAAGTTAAGTGGTGAGTAAGTTTAATTTATAGACCCACATGAATGATTTGCACAAACCACTAAACTTAAACTAACAATACATTGGTAATTAAAAACTTTAGAAACCAACAACTCACTTAAGAAATGTGGGTCCCAAAACTGAGTATAGATATGCTAAAGCAAAAACTTCTGTTGATTATGATTGAGTTCTAACTTTTGTTGATGAATGTGTTAACAGGGAAAATGTGCAGCCATGCATCACTTGTTTGATATATATCCCAATATAATGTTGTCTTGTCTGTACATGTACAGTATAGAGTGGCTGTTTCTGCTTTATAATGTACTTCTTCTCTGTGTGTTGATCTTTTGAAACACATTTAAACAGGTTTTAAGGAAACACAAATACAGTTTAAACCCACATTTGAATTAAGCATGGACTTGGCAACATTACTTGTATAGTTTCAGAACCAGTTGTAATCCTTTTGAACCTTTTTCTGTCCTGGCTCTATATCTCTAAAAGAAACAGTGACAGCAGGTGCAAACCTGAACATGACTGTATGGGGCCGTGTCTTTAACACTCACCAGATGGTCCACGAGAGCTCCCGGTTCATCTCTGCAGGTGCTCTGCTACATTCAGAGTGTTTAGTTAACATGTCGGCCACCAAATTAGCCATTAAATAAGAAGCCTGCATAATAATAGTAATAATAATAACAACATTGTCACAGCACAGCAACACACAGCCAGGGGAAGGCATTCATTATGGAAATGCAAGATAGGTCGACTAAAATTCATACCACAGGAGTCAAGCCATGTTTTCAACAAGGAACAAACTTAGTTCCTTGAGTTTTCAATTAGCTATTATACTATAAATATGAAATTAATTAACTCTTGATCCATTTTTACTTAATTTTTATCCTTAATTAATTGGAACCTAATTACTGTTCTGGTTCACTGGAGCCTTCATGTCTGGAGACCTCAGAGCTTAGGAGCACCCTGAGACTTCTCACTTGATTTCTCACTCTTTTTTTATTTGTACTGGGCTAAATTCGACAGATTTTAGTGACTGAAAAACTTTGATGAGTCTCGTAGTAAAAATAGAAGTCATAATGAGACATTTTAGCTGTCTTCTCAGTGCCATGCTGTCAGATTGTCAGAGCCCTCTCAGATAGAACATGTGTAACCCAGACGATACGTGGTTGACATTATGATTTGAATCCACGCAGCAGATAGTGCCGTTGTCTGCCTCAATGTTGATGTCAATAAATATTGCAACAATGTTGGTAAACGATTTTCATTTCAAACCATTTGGGTTATTGATTGCATGATTGGAGCGGATGGCTGACTGACACTGAAAAGCTTAAAATGTTTCAAGCTTAGTGCAGTTTTCATATTGGCGTGCAAAATGCACAATGCATTATCCGTGTAGATCTGAGTGTTGACCAGTGAGGATTGGGACCTTTTTAAAACCAATGACGTATCTAAACGTTCTCCACAATGAGCTGGGTCTCTGCATTAGTAACCACAGCCAAATTACAACAATGCAGATGGTTATATGTTTCAGACATTCATCACCTGATGCCTCTTATTGTTTCAATAAATTTCAATAATGAATATCCTGTTTGTATTATATTAGTGATTTCCTGTCAATTCCATTGTTTTGTTAACATTAAAAACCATATATTTAAATTGTTCTGACAGATGTTTATATATATACTTAATGTTCCTGAAAAGCTATCTCTGCAGTTTCCAGATATGTTGTAGTTGCAACATTATACTTTTGGTACAATTATTGAAAAAGTTATTAAAATGTCAAAAACAGATCCATTCATCTGGTTTTCTTCCATGCTGCTTTCACTGATGTTAAATTTCTGAAAAACAAACAACAGAGCTGAGCTGTTTTCAAACATTAAGCTCACATTATGATATAAAGCATGTTATGAGTATTTTCACCATCTTGTAGTAGAATAGCAGCATGTTTGGCACTGAACACACAGGCTACAGGCTAATGGGAACGTCATTGGCTAACTGGTGAAATTACTTTTTTTGACCTGATGGTGGAGCTAGATGAAAAGTGAAGGGTTTACAATGTTTCCTGAGGGGAACATTGACGTCTGTACCAATATTCAGGGCTATCATTGGGAAGGTTTTAGAATAATTTCAGTCTGGACTTTATTGTTGAACAAGGATATATCCTTATATGGACATATAGCCGGAGCAGCCTCTGGCAACGATACAAATAAAAGCAGGTTTAGATTTAAGTCTGAAAGTTGTTGTCACATTTTGAGGAGTCGTCCTGAAATATAGTCTTGTCATGTAGTTCAAATCAGTCATTACTGGCACACACTGATCATGCTTTTAATTCGAAGAACGTATTGCAGGCAGACAGAGAGTTTGCTTTAACCTCTCTCACTGATCGATCCACCCCCGGGTGCTCGATCACACAGCTGTGAATCCAAACCAGCTCTTATGTAACGATGAGCGAAGCAGATCTGGGTGGGGTGATCATCTGAATCATCAATTGCAATTGGTTGTTTGTATTGACGGTAATGTAACTGCTCGATACTTTCCAAATAGACACTCCTGGCTTCATTCATGGAGTTGTGCTGATCAGTGGGCAGCAGTGAACTTTAGCCTATCACAGTGCACCGTTTGATTGGATGTTCACTAACCCTTTTCAGCACGGTCACAGATAAAAATGGCAATAAATGAATAAATAAATACGACATATACTCTCCAAAATGATAACAATTCAGTTTTTTTTTTTTTTTTTTTTATTAAAAGAGCCAGTTCCAGTGTTTTAACTAGAAATGAACATGGAGAACAACTTCACAATCCAGCCATCAGGTTCTGAACAGCACACTGTGGGATGCTTTAAGGTAACATTATCATATTCAGCTTAAAACAACATAAAAGAAGACAAGACAGCAATGGAAATCACTTGATAGGAAATCAAGCCCACACAGGGACTGGTTTTATCTGCTGCTGCAGCTGCTGCTAATCAGACATGGAAGAAATAGAAGAGAAAGTACAGGTGTGAACTGAGGTTGTTACTCACACAGAGCAGTAAGTATATCTTTTCTTGTAGAAGGAGGCAAATGAATCCAGCTCTGAATGGTTAGCATTGGCTGTTTCACAGTTAAGTTTCTCTTTCTAAAAAGTACGGGATAAAACCTTTGTATCACGGACATTTGAACAGCGTTATTGTTGTCAGGTATTCACTTTGTCAATCTAGTTTCAGCAACAGATGCATTTGACTTTAGACTAAATGTTTTTGTCAAATGAATGAAATATTTCTGTCTGGTAGATTGTTGATTGTGTATCTTTATGAAAATAAAGCAGTGTTATATGACTAGGCTAAACTCAAATGAACATTTCTGACTGAAACATGCAGGCTACAGGTTGTGTGTGTACATTTGAACAGATTTGTGTCATGGAAATGTTAATTTACATGTTAGAATTCATTGACAGAAGCACATTATAATACTGTACAACCGATCAGGACGTACACAGCGGTGCTTAGAGCTGAATACTGATGTCAGGATGCTAACATGTGCACAGCGGTGATGATAGCACTTTGATGTTAAGCCAGTATTTACTGTTATAGTTATAATTATTGTTAGCATGCTAACGTTAGCAAATTAGTTAAAAAAAAAAAAAAAAAGTAGAGCTAAAGGCTAATAGGGATGTCAATAGTTTAGCAGGTAAAATCTGTCGGTGACACCAGACAGTAGATCGGAAGAATTACGTTTTTGAACTCAACCTCTTTGGATCATGAATGTCTTTACAAAAATGTTTTTACAATCCATCCACAAGTTGTCAAGATTATTGAATGAAAAATAAAAGTCAACCTCATGATGGTGCAACAGAAATAGACAGGAAGTCATCTTGGACTGTAGGATTATACTCTAAAACAAAACATGTTTGCACATGTTGTAAATCTCAGTCAGGAGTCAACCAACAAACAACCATCGGCATCCCTATAGAGCCATGTCGCTAGTGTTGTTTACATTTCTTTAAATGATTTAGGAGTTGTAAACCTTAAAGCAGACATTAGTAAACTGCACATGTATTCCCTGTAGCATATACACATGCACTTTTTCAATAGTTACAAGATTCATGTTTAAACTGTTTTGTCACTTCAGGACAAAGTGTAGATTGGGTTTTAAAATGTCCCATATTTGCTGTTTATATGTCATATACTGTGTTTAACTTAAACCAAGTATTAAACTCTAAACAAGGACAATTCTGCCGAATTAACAATTGAAAGAAAAAGCAACTCCACCGCTTTATTGAACCACAGTGAGTAATCAGATAGTCTTTTGAACAAATGCTTCTGCTACATTTTGCCTCATTTCTATCAGCTTCTAGATCAAGACCCACAGGAGCAGCTCGAGGTCCCACACAGTTTGCTCTGAGATTAAAAACACTGCAGAGGAAGCACAATAAAGTCTGGATTGAATTGAAAACAATGTAAGCACGGCTACTGAATTCAAGCCCACTTTGTATCAGTCACCCATAGCGATGTGATATAGCAGCATTGTATTAGTCACAGTGCGTGAAAGGTAAAAACTTTGTCTAGATACAAAGTACAGTTACTACAATATGAAAATACTGGATTCACTTAAGAGAAACAATCCATTATGAAAAGGAAGAGGACAGCAGGAGAGCATCACAGGTTAGATTACATGAGTATTTTGGGTCTCTGGAGGAGGTGAGGCGGCAGGGTGAAACAGCACAGCTTTACAACAAGAATCATACCTGAAGAGTTCTTACCCCCCAATAGAAAGGAAGGAGGTGATCTGCTTTTTTTTCATCATTCCTATGAATCCTACAGTTCAATATTTGGTACAGGGAATAACACAATGTTTAAAAATGAGCAATAAAATTCAAACAGGAATAACTCAGGTCCCACAAATAAGCAATGCACACATATACAACGTCCTCTTCATTAATACAGTTCTTCTCAAGTGTAATACACAGGCAGAAGATCTTTTAAACACACTCACAGAGACACTGGCTCTTCAGTTTATAGGAGTTCAAGAGAAAATGTTCTGTTTCTTTCGATGTGTCTCTCAAGTACAAACGACTAAGGTCGGCACTGACTCAACTGCACAGCAGATCGGCACAGTGTGGAGTTAAAGAGAACCTTTAACAGCCAGTTTGCATATAAAGTATGTATAAAAATCAAGGAGCAATAACAACAGGCCCTCTTCAAAGGTTAATTCTACACCTACTGTGACCGGAGCTGGAGAGGCTGGAGGAGTGAACAGCATGTTTTGCTTCTCCAGCTGAAATGAAGGCGAGGAACAGGAGTACGGTATGTTGACCCTGTGAGGTCTGATAACAGTGAAACTGTATGAGATGTACAGCATAGCTGAATATTCCTATTATCACTGCACGGTTGGAAGATGTCATTCTGCCCATGTGGGCTTTCATACAAAACAAAGCTCCATGTAAAAAAAAAAAAAGAAAAAAAAAAAAGAAATCTGCATATACACAGTTATAGTATCTGTGCATCCTAACACGATGAAGAAGTCTGATTGTAGAAAAATATATAGCCTTTATCAAAGTCACTCAGCCAAAAAATTAACCCAGAGAGCAAAATTCAAAATCATTTAACTTTATATGGCACCAAGGGAGGATTAAACGACACAAGGCTAAACTGAAGGCATTTCGGTTGTAGACACATGTTTTTTTTTTTTTTAAATCAGGACTCAAAATGTGGAAAGGGGCAATTTTGACACGAAACATAAAAAAAAAAAGAAAATACTAACAAAGCTTGTCATCTCTAGCTCAGATTTATTCAGCTACATGTACTCTGAATTTGTTTGGATTTGAGTGGGCATATACAGTACCTCCCCTCTTCAAAGTGTGCTGAATCTCTGCACTGGTAACACGCCCTCTCAGACTGCACAACCATGCATTTGAAAAAAACACAAAAATAACACAAATGTGTCCCCCCCCCCTTACAACACTCTTGCATACAGTAACTGAATCTTTCTTTACAAATGTTGCTAACTCATGCATATTTAAACAGTATGTTACAAAATGTGCAAAAAAAGGTCTCCATCTGACACATAACAAAACATCAGTTCTCCATCAATCATTGATTCTTTCCCACACAGTGAATTCACTGATATATAAGGAAGAGAAAGGTTGGATGCACTGAAAATCCTGCAAGCCAAAGCAAGATAAACGGCAGTTTGCATCACACATTGTTTTACAGACACAAATACGAGAGCTTGTTGTCGCACAACAAAGATCACACTCTGCTCTGACTTTGCACACATCAGAGCTGATTTATGAGCCTCTAGTGCAGAAAGAAGTCCAGCAATATTCATATTGTAGGTATCTTTTGAATGCTTTAAATTAGGTGTTTGCACATCCAACTGTTTCATGAAGTAGGTGCAGGACATTAAACTATAGCCTTGAAAAGAGAGAAGAGAAAAGAGCACACTTGACAAAGGTCCAGAGGGACCAAAACATTGTGACGCTAAGCAAGTGTAATGCACAGGATTTTCTCTCTTCAAGTATCTCCTTCAGCCTAGTGATGACCTTCAGATGTAACTTATTGTGTACTAAGTGGAGAGTTCACAGTGAATCATGTATCCTTTTCTAATCGAACAAAAGCCTTCATTTGAAAACGACTGCATAGTCATGAGGGCCACAGTTCAGGACTTTAGTAAAGACAATAAGGCAAAAGAATGGTTAGGGGTAAAGACCTTGAATTATTCACTTTAACATCATCTCTGAAAAACGGTTGTTTTCCAACTCCTTCAAAAAGTATCAAAATGATTAAATATAAAGTAGATTTGGCTTTCAGAGTCGGGATGATTAAGATAAGATAACTCAAGCTATGCTACTATATTTTTTCAAATTGGTATCATGATACCATTTTGATATCATGGGGACAACATCTTCATTCTTTCATGAGAGGTAAAAAAATAAACAAAATCAAAGCTTTTAGTTTGACACAATGTCTACACCCAAAAAAATGAAGAGTAGTTTGGCTCTGTGTTTCCAGAAAGGGTTAAACAGGATGTGAAATGTAACGGTGTCATCTCTAATCAATCAAACCATCATGTGCACTTTAAATGTCAGGACGTTTCTGTCTGTGCACCTGTACAGGACTGATACATGCTAAACACCAAACAAGAACAAGATTATTACACAAAATTGCATAAAAACAAAATCATCATTTTCCCTTCTGAATTAGGCAGAAAATAAATGATGCACAGTTGGAGAAGGTCTGTTGTTTTGCTTCCCCCAATCCTCTGGTTGAATACTGTTAATCATAGTGTTGCATAAAAACAATCTCTGACGGTATTGATGAGTTATTGTTTCAGTTTTGCAGTAAAAATCTGAATCAGAGCCTCAACCTGCAGTTTGAAAAAAAGATGGAAGTTTTTGTACTGTGAGTGCCTAACTCAAAAAGGTGCACAGAATGATCAAACCTTTTCTTGGTCCATTTAAAGGGTTGCTTCCCTGAAATGAACCCAGTGTTACTCATTTCCATGAGCTGTTTGTCACTTTTGTAAAACCAGGGTAAATGCTACTCAATTTATGCTACCAACAACTAGGTCCATGCTTCTCTATTGCACAGCTTCAAAAACACACACACACACACACACACACACACACACACACACACACACACACACACACACACACACACACATGATAATAGTAACCCAAACAGTAACTGAGGTCTGTGTGACAAATTCTTCACATCCTTAACAGATTTATGGTATTTAAAGTGCACTGTTATAACCTGTGTGTTTGCTACATATGGCAGGAACTTGAGAGAGTTGTTGTAGATAAAGTAGAACATTAACAGTGATCCGCTCGCTGTTTGCGTTCCTGTGCTGCATGCATCGATGTAATGTCTGTGTGCTGCTGTGAATGTAAACAACAAGGACCAAAAGGATGAGGCATTACAAAAAAAGGAAATGGTATACAGTATATGAGAGTGATGTTAGGTCTATTCAAAATATTGGCACATTATCTTATAAACAGTTTACTGGATGAAGCTCTTGTTGTCTAAGAGTTACTACTTATACTAACGACACATCCAGTCTTTGTCTCGTATTTCACAGTATTAAAAGTGCACTAATTGCCAAACCAGTTTTCCAGTTGTGAGATTTCTCATCATGTCTGTCTTCAGAAAATGTGCTACACTTCTTAATGCCACTTAAACCTTGTGTGTCTTGATCTGTGGTACAGATAACCTGCATGCACCTGATTGCTGACCTCTCTCACACCTGCGTCTCAACGCCATTAAGTTTAGGCATCAGGATCCGAGGAGTCACGCCCGAGTTGAGGTCCCTCTCGAACTCCAAGAGCTGGCCCATGAAGTTGAGATTGGGGGACACCACTGGGCGCCGGCTTCGCACGTATTTGTAGGCATCTGTCATTGTCATGAGGGTGTGCTTCATAAGGTAGGCGATGACGATGGTTGCAGAACGGGACACGCCGGCCTGGCAGTGCACCAGCACTCCCTGTCCACTCTGATATGCCTCCTCTGTGGACGATAACAACAAACTGATGAGTTCGAAGTTTAACTTGCTTATTTGAATACAATGGGGTTTTTATTGGTGCAAACTGTTTTAAATAAATAGATCCACAGATCCACACACAGATCCACAAATGGATCCACAGATCTACAAATGTGTACATAGTAGATCTGCACACTGATCTGCAAATGCATCTAGATATTTTGATATGCATACACACGCCTGCAAATATGTTAACCCTTTATATAATGACAATCAGATTTATTAAGAGCTAAAAAGTATCATACATTTTGCTCTAAGATCTTAAAGACATCTGTTTCACATAATTGTAGATCTCTGTACGCATTTGTGGATCCATTCACGTATTTACAGTTTTGAACCATTAATGTTTCCTGTTTAACATTAAACCCCATTTGCCATCTTTTATTATAATTATAAAACAATCAGTCCACCAGCCAGTCAATAAACCTTTCTGAAAGTAAAGTTCTTAAAGTGCAGTGTGGGCGGCATGAGCAGTGTCTAAAAACATAATTAAAGGCAGTAACACCACAGTGAGTGCAAAAATTTGGTGTCAAGAGCTAGTCAGGGAGGGGCGCAGATGACCTAGCGGTTAGGTTGCACCCCATGTGGGGAGGCTGTGGTCCTTCAGGCGGGCGACCCGGGTTCGGGTCCAGCCCAGGGCTCTTTTCCTGGATTCTCTCCCACTCTCTCGCCCCTATTTCAACTCTATCCACTGTGCTATCAAATAAAGGCAAAAAGCCCCCCCAAAAAAATCTTTAAAAAAACCCAAAAAACTATGGGTGCACATGCCCCATGTATGGAGGCTGTAGTACTTCAGGTGGGTGGCCAGGGTTCGAATCCCACCTGTGACTCATTTCCTGCATGTCATTCCCCACTCTCTCTCTCTCTCCCTGATTTCCGACTCTATCCACTTTCCTATCTCTTCATTAAAGGCACAAAAAGCCCAAACTAATCAGGCAATTTGGTTATCTTTCCATGAATAGATAAAACCTGAAACTGAATGACTAAGTGACAAGTTGCAACCACAGCGGCCTGTCAAACCCATATAGGGACGTAGAAATGTTTATGCACTTCTGGCTCTGAAAAACAAGACGGCAATATCCAAATTGTTGAACTTAAAGCAAACCATTGACTGACAACAGCATGGCTGTGTCCAGTTCTGCTAGTTCAAGCTTTTACCCCCCTATATATGGGCAGAGACATTCTGGATTAATAACTGTACCGAGCACACAGAAAATGATCTACCATTCAATAAATTCCTGGTGACAAGGCAAACAGGGCAAGCACCGAGTTGTCGCAGTAACAGAGGATTACTGGTATCTGTGACTTTATCTCAGTTATGCGTTACAACAGCATATCATACACTCACACACACGCAAGTGCAACAATATATCAGAGGGAGAGCCTCACCAATGAACTCAAAAACCTCCTCAAAGTACTGCCGAAGGTTTTGCTTGCTGTTGTCAGTGGCAGGCAGCCTTTTGTAGCGAAGTCCAGAGTTGACGTGATAGAGGGGCAGGTGAGTAGTCACATTAACCACGTAGCCGATGTTGAGGCGCATCAGCAGGTCCAGGTCCTGGGCGTCCCTCTCGTTCCCCAGAAACAGGAAGGGTAGGATGGCACTAACCACGGCGTTCTCTGCGTCGGGAGTCATCAAACTCTCGTCAGACAGAGAAGCTGGCAAAGACGAGGAGAGCGGCAGAGACAAGTGCACTGAAAGTAGACGGAACCAACAGAAAGAGTTTAGAGGCATCGTTTTTTAGTGTGTGAAGAACAAAAAAAAGTACAAAATCACAATTTAAGAACATGCGAAGGAGTCACAAAAACAAGCAGAATCCATTATCCGAGCGCTAATAGGCAGTATTTATTCTCTATGAAAGATGCACTGTGTATATATTTCGCATTAAAATGCAATAAATTGCTGAGATCCAAAAAGGCTAATGTGTGTGCAACAGTTAAATCCACAACCAAATGATTTAACACATCGAGGGCTACGAGGTCAGAGTCACGACAGCTTAATGCCAAACTCTAACAAGTTACTCTCCATAAAAGAAACCTCACGCAAGGATTCATTTTTGATGTACAACCTTAGTACATAACAGGTCGTAAAATATCGTTTAATCCCCGTGATTGAAAATATTCTTACTTCTGCTGTTCTCCTCATCTTGCTCTCTGTTCAAGGAGTTGAGGGCCAGGTGAAGAGACTGAGCCGTTGGCAGCGAGTGTCCTCCCTCCCTGTCTCTCTGCCAAGGTTTCGGTTTGATGAGTGTGCTTGGGGCTGATGGTGGAGGCGAAAAGGACACAGGTGAAGGCGGGGAGGCAGAACGAGGAGAGGGGGAACGTGGATATGCTGCATCGCCGTCTTGCTCGTGACTGTCTCCCATTCCTAAATCTTCAGCTTTATTCAAGAGCCTCTTAAGTGAGTTTCTGCCTTCGTCGTACCCTGATCCTGACCTGCGATTCACAAAGTCAAGGGCAGCCATTTTTCCCTGCTGAAGGCGCCGTCGGCCAGCGTGGTCGATTAGCTGAGACTGCGGATATTCCTGGAGGTTTTGACAGTCCAGCAGGACGAGGCCTGCTCCGTTGCTGCCATTTTGTGCCTGGCTTGAGCAGGTCTTCCCAACTCCGACTCCCATTCCAGCGCAGTGATTCTTCTGGGCTTTAGAGTGGGTCATCTTCTTGGCCAGCTCTTCAGGCCAGATAGTACGCACGCTATAGTCATCATCATCAGCTTGGAACATACCCATTCGTTGAGCTCCTCCGACGCCTCTTCCTGGGGGCTTGCCTCGGCGAGGGTTGAACGTCACCACGATGGGGTCGCTGCTGCAATAGCTGCAGGTGGAGCTGCCTGTCTGAGAGGCTTTGGGGTTGCAGCCCGTGACACAGCTCTGAATGGCACGGAGAGGGGCTGAAGAGGACAACGGGGTACAGGGTAGACATCCTCCAACCAGTTTTTTGCGTAGGATAGCAGGACTCTCGAAGTTTCTGGCCTCACCAGAGCAGGAGGCACAACGGAGAGGTTTGAAGAGGCCTGCTCGGCAGTCAGACACTGTGCTGTTAGAAGAAGACGTGTTGGAGGTGGAGGCGTTGGAGAGACACCCCCCAAGATTTCTAAGGCCCATTTCTTTGCCTCCTCTTTTCACTGCTCCGACATTGTGACCACAGGAAAATGAGGTGGAAGAGCTTCCTCCACCTCCCTGACAGCTAGCCGAGTGACCCTTATACCCTCGGCATCTTACCAGCCTCCAGCAGCCACAACTGAAAGGATGGGTGCAGTCGATAGTGCAAGTATGGTCAGGGCTGGGGAACCCTCCAGCGTGGGAGGAGCAAGGGGAAATGGGTAGACCATGCAGGATGTGAGGGCGGTGATCCCTCCTGTGGGACGGGTGGGGGTGGCCGAGTTGTTGAAATGAGACAGGGACATGGGCAGGTTGGGAGGGAGGGGATGAGGGATAGTTGGAGTTTAGGATGGCGGCATGGGGCACAGGGACGGAGTTTTGGTGATAGGGCAGAGTGTGACTGTTATGGCTTTGATGGGCAGTTCCCAGTTTGGAATTTTTCTTGTGACCTTGAGAGTGAAACTCCTGGTCGCCCCTGTTGAGGAAACTGGCGTTTTCTTTTTCTTTTTCACTCCTGAATCTGTGAGCCTGAGCTGGGACAAACTGTAGGACTCCTCCAGGGGTAGACGAAAGCAGACTATGGTTACTTCGCTGTGCCTTGTGTTCTGCTCCACCTGGCTTACCAGCAGTTCTCTCACATTGCCCTTGATCCCAGTGTGAAGTGACGCATTTCCCTCTGTTACCCTTTACTGTTCCACTGCGCCCTAACGAGTTGCTATATCCTCCTCCCCGTCCACCTTTGTCCACTGTCACCCTGATATCAATAGTATGTGTGTGGGAGGGCAGCCGTGGGCCAAGAGTTACTGTGCCATTGCTGTGGCAGTGGCTAGGGTTATGGCTGACACCGGCTGGGACTGCAGGCTGGTCGCCCTTGAATTTCTGCACGCGAGTTGATTTGCGCTTGCATTCCAGAGTCAGAGCTTTACATGAGGGCGAGTAGAAATGGGACTGAGAGGGGTGGAGGTGAGGAGGGTGGGCCACTTGTCCATTGGTAGAGGCTGATAGTTGAGAGGCGTGCTGAGGGATGCTCTGCGGGGAGGACTCACACAGGACTAAGTTTTTAGGGCGCTGAATGACCACTATGCGCTCATCGAGAGGGAGGGGAGGCATCTGGGTTCATGCAAAGCTGCGTAACGAAGAGGGAGAGAGAAAGAGACACACAGAAAGAGAGCAGTCAGACAGTTGCTATAGTCAACACTGGAAATGTGGGCCACCCTTTACATTTCATCAGTTTAGACACAAATAGAACAGGCTGATGCCAAATAATGAACATGGCCTTGCAGCTATGAAATATTTAGATGATACTGTGCATAAATTGGAGCACATTTCAATTTAATTGAATAATTAATTAAAGTACTACAAAACTAAAGACAAAAAAAAAATTGTTAAATTATGAAATGTAAAGTTAAACCCCAAACTCTCACCAAAAATGACAACACATATTTACAACAAACACACAAAGGTTTTTATGTTTTGCATATTCAGGTAAGTCATCTCAAGGTGTCTTGTATACCAAAACATATCAGGAACAAATACACCAAAGATTTTGCAGCTAAGTTTGGACCACAAACATGTCACAACTTTTCCTTTTCACCTCTGCTGCAAACCAAAGACAAATTCTCATTAAGGGTACATCATGTTTTATTAATGGATACCACTGTAACATCAGAGAAATCCATGTAAACATGCACATCGAACATCTTCTGTTATCTGATTATACCAGGCCACCTGCTGGGCATTTAATGCTCACCAATATCTGTTGTAGTTAGATGTTCTGATTTTTTCTGTTTCATAGTGATACCCCTCCCGATAGGTTATACAAATTCTGAATCCAATCTGATCTCTAGTACAAGGGTGTGCACCTGTTTGCTGTCAGCAGCATCTAATCCGAGCTAATCCTAGTGGCAGCATGGCTTCTTAAAAGCTCTGTCACAAAACTTGAATCAAATGAGCTGCATCAACCTTCATCCCTCTCACGAGTCTTCAGTCTTGATGCAGTGCTGCACAATTAAAATGGTCACATAGGCTTGCAATGAAAACTGGCAATGCAAGTTTAGCCATAATCATGTTTTTTTTTAACTACAAGCCAATTCATGTGAATGTTTATTTGCTCTGTTTTTCCACAGAAAATCTAAACCAAGAAATGAACTAATAGCTGCCTGGGCTCTTCATTTTAAAGTCTGTGTAATACTAGAGAGCCATGAGTTTTTTGTGGAATGAAACACTTCCTGCTCCCAGCCATGTTCACTCTGCCTCTTGAATAAATTACATCAACCGAATCCTTTGGGCCAATTAGAGACGAGCATTTGTCCAGGCCATGGTATAAACAGAAGGTCACCACGTGCACAACACCATAACTCAGCTTTAGAGAGAGCTTTCTCACCATGACACAGCAAAAAGAGAGTACCACACTGTACTTCATGAATATGCACTTTGAATATAAATAGATATAGAAGCTTTTTTTTATATTGTATCTATAAATTGCTTTTATGATTTATGATTAACAGGACGGTACAGTGACTACAGGAGGACATTGTATTTTTACATTTATTTGGTGCATTCATTATAAGGCTGCTCTAAAACTTTAAGATGAAAATCATTGTGGTTAAAGGAAAAATCCTCCCTCTCTTACATACACTGCTAAATACAATCAATCTGACGTTTACTTCACCTAGGAGGTGTTGGGTTGATGAAATACTTTAATTTGCTTTTACCACACAAGCAGCATGGCTCTAGGGAAAGCTAAAAGGTCAAACAGAGGGATTTTAGCAATACAGGGGGACATTAAGCTGAAAAACACCGCTGAGCCTTAAGTTGAGGGTTTTGTTTAAATTAACACTAGCTGCAGTTGCCCATTCTATTGAATAATGCAGGAATTTAATGCAGACAGTTTCCTAGTTTGACTGTTATTATCTCTAGCTTTATTTTCAATAGATTTCTCCCCTTGTGGTTGTAAGTAGTTGGCATTAAACTGATGAGGCACTTGCATTCGTTTTCTTTGGGTTTTACCTAATTACTAAAATTACAAAGTAAAAAAAACTGCATATTTTTAACGAGGCAACATGTCGGTCAACTGATCTGGTACTGGTGTAAAAACTAAAATTGTTATACATATAATTGTTATACAACTTTTGGTAAGATTTTATGTGAGTTTAATGGTGTTGTATGTTGTTTGAACCTCTAACCAAAGGTAAGTTTCTGTCACTATGTGATATACAATACATTAAAAAACTAATTTTTCCAAATTAAATGGTCAGTTTGCTATACACGTAATTTTTTTAAATGCACAAACCATGTTAGATATGTTTATCTGCCCAGGTTATGAGAGATCTGTTGTTTCTGCTGCGACTCCAAACATGTCTTGAGATTACACAGTAAATTATTTTTTTTACTTTCTATAAAGTAGTAGGCCCAGTGCAAATGACTGACCTCATAGTTGACAGTCTCCATCGCATTTGGATGGATGAAGGAATTTCAGTAACAGATATCTCAAAACCCGGACAAATAAAGCACAGAATATCTGAATAACTATAGATTAGATTTGGATTAGCATTGTCTTAAAATGAAAACGTAGGTTGAAGAGTACAATGCTTGATGCTTGAATCCAGCCAACAACCTAGTGTGTAATTACATTAATCTGTGCATATAGCTGTTTAAATTAGTTTGGTCAATTTCTAGTTTGACCTTTAACTATTTTTTCTAATATTCATAGAAAATCTCTCTGGTGGGGGGGAAAAGACCATAAAGGTTAAAAGGGGGACTGGGAGGAAAGCTACAGAGGACAACACTATCTGACAGAAACAGAGTGGGTATAAAGAGAAAACACAGGGGGACAGATTATAATGTGACACCATGAAGGACAGAGCGCAGGAGAGGAAGGAACACGTCAGAATAATGTGGGGATGCCTTCACTCCCAACACAACACAGATACCAACCCATCGAGAGAGCAAACCCCGCTCCAGTGTCCCCATGCTTAAATCCAGAGGCTGGTGATGGTATCGTCATCTTTTTTTTTTTTTTTTTCCTTTTTCAGCCTTGCCTGTGGTGGAGGGGGTGGGGGTTACATTGACCCAGTTTATCATGGTGGAAGTCACTATCACTCTGATCACTTTTCTCTCACACACTGTAAACTGCAGGCTGGCTAGTGGCCTCTTCACTCACTCAGTCAAAGCTTCAGCAGACAGTGAGGGCCGCAGAGAGACGGAAAACACTACATTATAGTACAGCAGCGATGCCTCTCAAATATTCACAGATGCATGTAGAAAGTATAGATACACAATGTACAATACACAACAAACATTGCAGACTGCAGTGACTGTAGTTATTTCTAGAAACATTACGTCATATTGGCCAATTTTGTCTGACAATAAATGTTCTGAGCTGGCAAGATACATTTTTTTTCCATCAACACATGAAGACAAATCAGAGTTGGGAAGATTTAAAAGAAAAGGATAAGCATTTATTATTACGTAGTATTATCTTCTTTTTCGTTTCTAGAGCGCCCATTTTATAATGAGTTTCAGCAAAATAAGGAATTTAATCAGTAATTTTGCGTTGAACTGAAGGGTTTG